AATGCATAACTCATTGTAAGAAATTAGAAAAACAAACTTAAGAAGTGAATAATATATAGAATCAAACTTAGCTGTGGAGGAGTATAGCCTTTGGGGTCAGAGATATGAAAACTCAGAAATAGGTTGCCAGAGGGATAAGCCATGGATTTCTCAAATCTCATTGTATGATAGTACTCTGGAGAGGCCCAGTACAGTGTAGAAGGTATTTACCTCTTTCTATAAGGAAGTAAATAAAATGTTTATTTCCTTTTGCTTCAACAATTCAGTACCTTCTACTTTTTCTCTGATATAGGTTTACATTTATTGAAAATCTACACTCAAGATCATGTCTTCTGTCCCACTCTGAATGTGTTTTCTGTTCAAATGTCTCCAAGACAGCAGCACACCACCACTGAAGCGTGTATCAATTTTCTCTCATGAAAAAGAAATTTCAAATTTTCCACTGTACAAAAAATAATGTTCCTCTTTTTCTCAAACTGGCTTTCATCCTCTCCTATTTGAGATTTTTCTGTAATTGTATATTTCAGGCAAGTAAAAAAGCAGAAAAATAAACACTGTTACTGTTTTCAAATTACAGCTACGTCTGTTAGGAAACCTTGACCAGTCCTGCCATGCATCAGTGACCGTATTCCTCGTACTTCCTTTTCACCAGAAATCTTTAAGTACAGGATTTCGGAGATAGATAGATAGATAGATAGATAGATAGATAGATAGATAGATAGGCAGGTAGATAGGCAATAGACAAATAGATACAAAGCTTCACTTATAAACACAGTCATATGCCATATAAATTAGAGATTCAATTCTCCCACTAAACACAAAAAGAGAAGAAATTTAAGAAGTAGTTGTGATGGTACTGTTAAAAATATGGAATCCAGTGGAATTCTTTCTTCTGCCTTTCTTTCCCAAGCACTGGAACAGGATATGGTTGTTGGTTCTGTCAACTAGAAAATTCTTCCTAAAGGGCAAAATGCAACATTATGTATCACAGTCAACCAAAGGGGGAAAAGCAAAGTAGAAAATTCCCCTCCGAGCTGATAAAATCCCATCTGCCTCCCCTGCGAGGTAGCCCCATTCTTCACAGGCTCTCATCCCGAAGACATTTAGAGGGTCATAATTTCACCACCTCTTTCTTTTATTCTTCTTTCCTGTTCTTGGTGAGGGGAGGTAGCTCTGAAAGGAGCTGGTTTCTGAAGACTGAGAGAAGATGGCCCGAACTAATTCATCTTGTGACCTTTCAGTGCCTTCACAGTAAGGTGATTTAATAGCACTTAATCTGTCAAAAATCTGAAGCTTTGTAATAACTGTATATTAAGCCAGTTTTTATGGAGCATTAGCTAAAGTCCTTCCAGTTTACAAAGAAAGAAGGAAAAAGAGAGAACACTTGCCATGTTTATCCTCATTATACTCCCTGGGACTCCCTAATGTATTCTCCTGTTGGAGAGCGAGTGACCCATGGGGAAGATATGTCCCTTTCCTGCAGGGCAGTAGTAGTGAACCTGTGCACACATACACAGCAGGCTGTTTGCAACACAAAATGTTCTAAAAGGTTCACCATCACTGTTTTAGGCTGTCCCAGGGAGGACCAGACCATAAATAGTTTGAATAGAGCAGTATCGGCTGGGTCATTTGGCTGATTTTGAACATATATTTATGTTTGAGATCCACTGATAGAAGTGTGGGCAAACCTCACAAAACTGGGCCCTGTTATTGTTTTGAATCTGTAGTACATTACTGAAAAGTAGAAGAATTAGAGTTGGTTTAGTTTGGTTTGAGGACTTTGTATGTGTGTGTGTGTGTGTGTGTGTGTGTTGTCTGTGTTTTCCAACAACAACCAATTCCCTGACAACTTACGAGGTAGCTAATAATTCAATTATGACAGCATCTTCCCAAAATTAGCATCAAATCCTACAAGGTAAAGGTTTAAATGTCACAAGATTGTTCCTGCTTCCAACAGTATCCACAAGTGAGAGCCTCAGCTGGTCCACATCTGGCTACAAATTAGGGTGCTGCTCATGACCTCCTTTGGAATTTCACTAGTGCACCAATGACCAACAAACTCAAGGAAGTACTTTCCTTGCCTGTACTGGCCTACTGTAAAACTCAGAAACAACCAGTTGGAAAAAGATACATAGGGCAAGGTGTGTAAGTCGACAGCACAGAGCTTCTAGGCACTAAGCATCGCCTTCTCACTGCTTCAACCTAGAAGCTCTTTGAACCCCTTTGTTGAAAGCTTTTATGACCCATTTTCCAGTTCTCTTCTTCTCCCAGGAAGTCAGAGCAGAGCCTAATGTTTACAACCTCTAGCATATGCTGGTCTTTCCGGTGACCAGCATCATCATGTAGCTGCCGACAAGGCCTCCCCACATAAACTCAGAACAACTGAAAATGTGTCATTATCAATAACAAAAGGATTTTAGGCCATCTCTGTCAGAAATCTGTAAAAAAAAAAAAGATAAAATGTATTCTTAATTATATGGCACTTGGACAAAGTCTTTATGGTCCACAAAAATCAGGTTAGAAATTTTATCTTTTATATATCTCAAGCTTCACTATTGAAAACAGTACACTTGCATCCTACCCACCATCTTGTTCTCATTTCCCTCTCACCATAAAGCTAGGTCCTTGCTACCCATATCTGTTTAATATCCTGCCCCAGCAACTGTTCCCCAGAGTTCAGTCCCATCTTACCTCCTAACTGGACTTTTGTGCTGGACTCTCAATCCTCTCTTTCCCTTTCTGAAGTCCTACATCACTTATAATCTATAGCATAAGCTTGGACAGGATGGCTTGTTGTATTAAGATCATAACTTTATGTTGTTTGGTATCAAGGAAGTTATAGGTGGTATGCTTGAATCAGGGTAAACTGTAAAAGATTTAGTCCAAGAACCACTTTCAAAAGTAGTAATAGAATTCAGTGGAACCAAAAACCAGCAAGAGGCCCATGATCTTGTTTTCATTCTTCAATTTTAAGAGACGGAGAAATGAACAGTTGCCAAGATAGCTGCAATGATTTGACTGGGCTGCTTTCCCCTAAAGGAGATGGGACCAAGGATAGAGGAAACAAAAATCAGTTCCAAATAATGCCACCAACAAGAGTGGGTGAATAAATATGTAAGACCCATTCACTGATCTCCTACCAGGGTTCCTTGGTGTCTGATTCAAATCAGGAGCCCCAGGCAAGTTTGTCCTAGGATGGTCATTCAGGTCAGTCCCCAGGAGAAAGGATATGGAGGACTGCTTTGGAAATACAATATTACAGAGAGACAATGGACACTCACTGAGATGTGGATCCCAAAGCCTATTAGATATTTCCCCAAAATAGAGTCCCTCATCCATGGTTGCTATGCTACAGTGCCATCTTCTGTCTGCTTGGGATAGTGGAAAGGAGCTTTTCCAGTGCTAGCTTTGTAGAACTATTGTTAGTTAGGACCATTTTTCATCTAATGCAATATGTACCTGAGATATATAAATTTAAAAAGAACCAAAAAAGCTTATTTTCAATTCAATTTTAGAGGCTTCAGTCCATAATTATGACCTCATTACATTGAGTCTGTGGTAGGGCAGTACTTTGTGGCAGGAACACATAATGGAGGAGGTCGTTAGCTTCATAGAAGGAAAGAGAAAAAAGAAGGTGGAAGAAGAGGGCTGTAGGCTCCGTATGCTCTTGGAAAGCATGTGCACAATGACAAGAAGACCTCACACAAGAGCCACCTCTCAAAGTTGACTTTGCTTATTCCCTCTCAGTTGCCTCAAGCTAAGGACTATATTAATGAAGGAGCATTTAGGAAGCAGATATCTCAAGATCTGACGATAGCAGCCAATGTCTTAGTCTCTGTACTGGACAACACTAGCAAGAGAGCAAAGGAAGTGAGGATCTACAGATGGTCCACAGCACCAAGCCCCATGGATGGAGGCATGTATTTGCTGTGTCTTCTGGCTCCTGACTCACTGTTCACTGTTCCTATGTCACTTCCTTTATGGTTTTTATTGCATCTCACTGGGACATTTTAGATTCTTTTAAAGACTTCTCCATGAATGTTCTTTGACTCTATTTCTCTTTATCCTAGTTTTTGTTTACTTATGATTTTACATGCTATGTATATGTTTATGCTACAGACCTTCATTTATTTCATTATCTAAAAACCAGACCTTCTTGTTAAATTAAAAGGTCATATAAAATTCCACATAGCAGCTTTTATTGAATAGCTTACATACATCTCAAAACTCGCTATCTTTTTTGTGTGTGTGTGGAACTGGGAATTGAACTCAGGCCCTTGCATTTGCCAGGGAAGCACTTATTCCACTGAGCCATCCCCTTGGCCCCAAAACTCATTATCTTTGTAAAATAGCTCCTCTTTCATTGTTAATTCTTTATTCATTGGATAGACTGTCCAACCTCTTGATTTATTCAAACCAAAAGCAGGACCCTTTTGACTTTTTTCTCTTGTTTATCTGCCACATGTGACAACTGTAATGTCTCATGAAGGCTGTATCATGGATCTGCACTGGGAAGGCCCCAAGGTCAGTGGTGGAAGCTAGAAAGTCTCTGCCAGCAGGATGAAGGAGCTGTGCTACGAGGCTGAGGGATCTGTACTGGAGTCAGGAAGCAAGGCTCAAAGTAAGGACAAGAGATTGCCCAAAGAGAACCATAGCCATCCTCAGGGATAATGAAGCCCTGAGCTCCTCCAATGAAGAGAACAGCCTGAGCCCATATCAGGAAAGCCAGCATGAAGGGTTACTTCAGGACAGTCAACAGCACACCATCTTCCCCTTCTTCCAGTTCTCCTTGTATGCTATTGGCAAAATTCCTTGCACGGGCCAGCCACACCCAGCACCACTCGGATTCTGTTCAGTGGGGCATTATAAACTGAGCATTGGTTATTCCACCACAGAGCCCTGCACTCATCCATGGGCTTATTCATTGGTGTTCTCAGCTGACTGAACTATTAGGGGGTGAGGTTCAGCGAGAGGAGTCTGATAGCTGGTTGTGCCTCAGGCGGGACTCTCTCTTTCTCTCTCTGGCCCTGTTCCCCTGTGCTCTGCTTCCTGGTCTCCACAAACTGAGCAACTTTGCTACAAAATAGCTTTCTGGCATAATGCTCCTGTCTGGATTCAGCTGACAGTAGACTGCAACCACCACCAAAATAATCTATGTGTTTTGTTAAGCTGTGCATGAAGGATACTTCTCTTCTGCAATGGAAAAACTGGACAACATGCCTTCTGTGCTGCTAGGAGAGTGAGCATTTGATAGTGCTAGACAGTCCAGCATTCTTCTTAAAGCCCTTCTCCAACTTCATCACACTTAGAGTAAAATCCAGATTCCTGCCTTGGATCTCTAAGTCCTCCGCTGCCTGCGGGTCCAGACTGAGCGGCCTACCGCAGTCCACCCTCCTCCCTCACTCCTTGACCCTCTGGCTTTTTCCTGCCAGAGAATCTGTAGCACATGTTCTTTTCATTCCTGCCCTTCCTGAAGATGAGCATGGTGGCCCTCTTATTTAGCTCAGGCGCTGGTCAAGGGGCACCTTCTTAGAGAAATGTTTTCTTTACTTCACATAAGAGGTATGTTCTGACTATTCTCAAATCGCTCTCAATTTTGATCTCTCAGAGCACTCACATTTATAAAATTACATTGTGTACAGTCTCCATTGGCACCAAAATTCCTGAAAATCATCACTCTTCCCTGGAAAAATGAACAAATGGAAAGGCTAGTCCATGTTAGGAAAAAAATACTTCTGCCTTCTTCCCAGAACTCAGCCAGGGAGGATAAGGCGGGGTGAGTGGAACCTGGAGGCTGGTGCACACAAGCTATAAAATTATCTCCTCTTCCTCGTGTAAATTATTCTGCAATTAATAATGAACCAATCTCCTAATAACTTAGTATATTAGTTGTGCATATATTTATTTTTTCTCAGATATAATGAAAGATTTTAAATGCACAGGAACACATGTTATATAATGTTCAACCTCATGGCTTCTAGGCCTTTCTTTGCAATTTAAAACCTACTAAGTAAATGCTTATTGAAAGAACAAGTGGCAGCATTAGGTGAGAAGAAGTGGAGGAGCAACATGCCTTTCTTTTCAGATGATAACAAACTTAACGTCAAAATAAAGAGCTCCAGCCAAGAGCAGCTCCATACATCCCCCAGCAAAGATCTTCTCTATGTTTAATGGTCTCCCCCTGGTCTTGCTCATTTCTTTTTAGTTTTAGTCTTTGCACAAAATTCAAAGAAACAAAGAGTCATAATGTAAGTCCTTGGAGAAGCTTGGTTAAAGAGTGAGAAACAGAGGTAAGCAGTGGATGTGATTTAAGACGGGTGCCCCAGACTTCATAAATTTCCTCAGTCAGCATTAGAGCTGCTTAATATTTTATATAGCATTGCTTGCCTAGGTGTGACATCTAGAAAACCTCATAAATGTATAAGCTTTCCTTTCTGATTTGTTTTTCTCTCCTGGCATTTAGAGATGTATTTTGTCCACATTGCTTGTATTCCTCTCCTCTTCTTGCTTGCTCATCCTGATGATAAACATTTGCAGTTTTCCTTGATTATATTTAAGAAATACATGCTAGACAATCTTTCTGTCTTTCTTTAAAATAATATTTGAAGATTACATAAAAGATATTTTAAAGTCTTATGAATAAGGAAACGTGATGAGCCCTTTATTCATTCATCTGTTCTTTAACCAGTATCTACCACACTAAATTTGCTGGAATAGAAACAAGGATGAATAAAATCAGGTCTGTCTGTACTCTAGGTAAAAATTTTTAGGCCCACACTTTCCCTGATAGGGAGTGCAAAAGGAAGGATTGTCAGGAGAATGATGCTGAGGGAGAGATCCCCATGCTCAGCCTGGGAACTGAGGGTGTATGAGTACCTCGAGACACACGCCTTTCATTGTTCTGGAGAAGTCCGAATAGGAGAGACATGAGTGAAGTGGAGAATGTGACCATGACTTTGATTTGCTTGCAGTACAATCAAAAAACAAAAATTCCTCAGTGTTTCCTAAGGATACTGCTATAGGAAGACTATATTAGCCTTTCACTACTATGACAAAATACCTGAGGTCATGAACTGAAAAACAGTAAAAATTTATTTTAGCTCACAGTTCAAGACTGAGATCTGGTGGTCCTATTGCACTGGGCTTGTGGTGAGGGCACAGAATGGCTATGGCGAGGTGTCTGTTGGGGGCAGATGGTTTATCTCATGAGCCAGGAAGGAAGGAGCAAAGGAGGAAGGGAAGAAAGGAGGGATGGAGGGAGAGGGTGAAGGAGAGATGGAGGAGGAAGAAGAGGAAGAGGAGGAGGAGGAAGAGTAGGAGGAGGAAGAAAAGGAGGAGGAGGAGGAGGAGAGAGAGAGAGAGAGAGAGAGAGAGAGAGAGAGAGAGAGAGAGAGGATAATGTGATCTCACAAACCACTCTGAGGCTCTACCTCTAAGAACTAAGGACCCCTCCACTGGGCTCCTTCTCAGTAGCTCCATCTTGAGGACAAAGTCCTTAACCATCAAACTTAGAGGAGAGTTATCATCTACATGTTAGCAACTACAGGCTTTGTTTTAAATGTGGCAAAGGAGGGGTCACTTCTTAATGAGGTACAGATTGATCAAAGCTAAGATCTAACCAGAATGGGACGAGGTGAAAGAAATATTGCTGCGGTTGCTGCTATAACTATAAAGCAAAAGATATTCTTCTGATAGCCAGTCAGCGAAAGAAAGGTGAAGGGTGGGACTGAGTCTTGCCCATAGAAACCACATGTACTAGAAGAGAACAACAGCTCCTTCCAGAATCAAAATAAATTATATAAATGCTACTATGGTCTCCACATCCCTGCATATGTGATGAATTTTGCAAGAAGATCTCTGTGGCTCTAATCCATTACCCTGGCCCCTAAACCAAAAGAGAGACCAAGAATAGAGCAAGAGCTGAAACTACAGATACTGCTCTCTGCCGCCGAAAGGCCTCAGAGTCACAGCTCAGGTCCACACAGTGGAGAGATGAAAAGGGAAGCAACAACTGGAGTTTCAAACTTAAGTAGATTGTGGGTAGCAGAGAATGCAAATTAAAACAACACTGAGATTCCACCTTACTCCTGAGAGAATGGCCATCATTGAGAAATCCAATACTGACAAATGCTGGTGAGGCTGCAAGGTAAAGGCGGTTCTTTTTCTTTTATGTATTTAGGACAGGTCTATAGGGTCTCACTGCACAGATCAGATTTGTATTGATTCTCCTGTTTTTGGCCTCCCAAGCACTGGGATTACAGGCACGCGCCACCACACCCAGTCTCAATCTCCGTCTCAGTATGCTCTAGTAGCAGGGCCAGCGCAGCATGCCTTGGAGCAAGCCCTGGTCCTGCATCTGCCTAGGAAGGCATTTTAATCCACTGAACTATATGGCCCAGCCTTAAGGTAGCTCTTGTGGGAAAGAAACTGGGTATAACCTCTATGGTAATCAATAAAATCCCTAAGAAACTAAAACTACGAATCTATTCAACTTAGCTATTTTCCATTTACATATTTTCCCAAAATATCATATCACAGTGCCACATACAAACACATATTTATAGTAGTACATCTCATGATAACTGTGTCTTGGAGTGGCCTACGTATTCATCACTAGTTGAATGGATAAAGACAATGTGGTATTTATACAGAATAGAATGCTACTCTTTAAAAAGAAGGGTAAATAATTTGCAGGAAATTGGAAGCACTTTGAAATTATAATACCAAGTGAAATAAATCAGCACACAAGCTTATAAGTACCCAATGGTTTCTCTTATGCAAGAAATTCAAAGTATAAATGCACTAAAGAAAAAATTAAAAGATAAGTAACAAGGAGAGATATTCTTTGCAAAAGAGAAGAAAACGAAGAAATGGAAGGAGGGGAGTTTATAGGGGGAGAAGGGGATGAAAGGGAGCTAACGCACTGTGCATGTGTACTGTGCATGTGTATCGACACTACACAAGGAATATGATCATTATTTATTGGTACTAAACATGCAATATAACACCTTTTAAAAATGAAAATAAAGCAACTAGATCAGATTAGTTCAACAACCTGAAGTGGCCATGAAGTTTTGGAATGTACTATTAAACAGGAAAAAAGAAAAAAAAAACCTGAGAAACAGAAGTTGAAAGAAGTATTTAAAACAATAAAGACTACTTTGTGGTTGAAACCCCACTGAGCTAGGCCACCTTCATCTGGTTTATAGCTACTTAGTAGCTAGAATATAAGAATTCTCACAGGAGTCCCTAAGTGTACATTTGTAGCTCTCATCTCCTGTTAGGCCTGAGGGATTCCTCTTTCTCAAATCCCTTGTGATTTCAAAGAAAGACCTTCAATAGGTCATAAGTAGTGCCTGTCCTTCCTTTTCTTCATATTTCTGGAAAAAATCTGGTGTCAAAGTTCCCAGAATACAGCAAAGCCCATGAGTTGGTGACACCTTGCTGTAACACTGATTGCAATGATCACCACTTTGGAACCCTGAGATCACCAGACAGATGACCTTGAACCCTGTGCAGCACAGTGAAGGTTAAATAGGGTGGGGGGCTGTCCTTCTGCCTGGCTTTCTGTCCTCCTGCATGCCTCGTAGTGCTGAGTGCTGCAAGGCAGTTGGGGACAATTGTGTTATCATAAAGCTCCAATTAAGGGGCCTCCCTGGTAGGTTGATCTGATCTCTTTAAAGAGTTGCTGATGTTGGCCAAGTTCTGCCCACAATCTGCATATCCACTCACTCCTGCAGGAAGAGAATTAGAGAAGGAATTTTGCTCAGTGAGGTTGACACCTGCTGATAGCTCACAGCCATAGCTTCTGGTGTGAAAGTTTTAGAAATTGGTGAGCAGACCACTGCCTATTTTCCTCAGAAAAAAAACCCACTAATATTCCTCTTAAACAAGCCATGGTGGGCTGGGAAGATAGCTCTATAGAATAAGCACTTGCCTGCAAGTGCAGGGTCCTGAGTTCAATCCCTGGTACCACGAAAAAAAAAAGTCATAGTTTGTTTTGGAATATTCAGAATTGTGGGACACTTGTTGTTCAGATGTCCCTAAAGCAGTACCTGGAAGACTTAAAGGAAGGCAGACGAGCCCTGACATAATTGATCTTTCCTCTATCAATCACTTTCTTTTTAAATTTAATTTAATTTTGTTTTTCATAACAAAGAAAAAGACAATACCGTCAGGGAGTTGGCACTAAATGAATTACAAGATAAACTTTTATAATGAGACAAAAGTTCTGTTCCATTTTCAAGATACTTTTCTGTAAAACCTGGACTCTACCATTTCATAACCAAGTGCTCTGATTTAGAAATGTCTGAACACATTCACTTGCCCAACACATTTGCAGAGCGGTGTATGATATGGGAAAGAATGAGCAATAACTCACTTATATCACAGAAAATAACAAAAGGTACGAATTTATACCAAATAGTAGTAGAATTCTAGTTTCAAATGTGAGGGTTAACACCAGCATTTCCTTCACTGTATTCAAGTCAAAACGCAGCTGATACAATAGTTCATCTAAAATTGCCAAGAACTGTCAAATTGCAGCCTTTATTAAATGTGTGCATGAATGATATAAATCTTCAGTGAGCCCAGGGTCACTTTGATCCTTTTAGTGGCTCGTAAAGCAGCGTGTGTCTTCCTGCGGACAAAGGAAGCAGATGCCAAGGCGGAGGGAGGAGCCACAGAAGAGTCTTTGAAGGGAGGAAAGGAAGGCAGTGAGCATCAGATGGCCTCAGACCATGAGACTAGCTTTCGGCTACACTCACTGTGGAAGAGAAAGACAATGAAAACTGGGGATCTTATAAATTGAGCTCATCTCCTGATCCTTCTCTATTGCTATCTACAGGTTGTGGGTATAAAATCTAATGTTCGCCATGGCGTCTGGAGCAAATCAAATTGAGCTGAATGAAGTTTAAGTGCCCCCTGAAAGAGCCTCAACCTAAGGTCAGAAACCTAATTATTGTCACCACAAGGGACTGGCTAGAGGAAGCACATGGCCCTGAGCTATTTGGATTTAGCAAAAAATACTCTTTTCTCCTTCATCTATAGGTAATTTGTTTGATGTGCTTTTCTTTCCAAAACCCAACGTGGCTGTATTTTGCCTTTTTGAAGAGCAGGATGGATTTAACAAAACTCGCAAGTCAGGAAAGCGACACCAGCCAGGAAATGAAAGTCAAAACTGTTACACAGGCTGCTGGGCCCCTCTCTCGTTGCTTCTATGTAAATATGTAGTACACAAGCCAGTTTCTCTGCACAGGACCCCAGGACAAATGAGATATGAATTTAAAATTTTAAAATGTATTTTTTAAAGAAAAAAACAGTCCATGAGGCCAGGGCATAAATATTATTGTTGTTATTATTCTAGTACCCACTAAATAACACTGCTGATGGCATGTTTGTTCAGTAAGCGCCTTCTGAGGATTCCAGCAAGGGTTCGACAGGTGAAAGGCTACACTTTGCATTGGAGAACCCCCGAGCAAGGTTTGGAAGCATGAGATTTTAATAAGATGAGTCTTTTCCCATCTAAATTTTCAGTATATTGATACAGTTACTCATATTGCAATTTCAGAATAAATGCTACTGGCATAGCTCTAGCTAGCGAATGCCCCTCTACTAATCTTTAAGAGACATCACAGTAAGTAGCACGTTATCACAAAGGCAGAGTCCTTGGGTCATGGTAGGGTGAAATGGTATACACTTCTAGCAAATACCCCAGCACGCAAGATAAAACTTGATATACTACTAACTTTTCAAAAACTTAATCAAAGTTGTTACTTATTTTTATTTCCATCATTGATTTAAGTAAAAATTTCAACATAATTCTTTTAACATACTAAATGGTCTCACATTGCCACACAGGACTAACACAAAAATATGAAAAAGATGAAAAGAACTTCTCTCGGTGGAGCACATTGGGTAATATGAAAAAGCAGCAGTGCTGCAATATATAAACTTGTCAGCATAAGATTACTGGAAAGGGAGAAGTTCATAAACCTCTGTTTTACTATATACATTTTAATTTTTACTATGAATAAATATTCAAGAAATATACAAGATTTGTCAGTAGTCAATAATTTATCACAGGAGCCAGGGAGATAGCTCAGTGGAATGAGCACTTCCCTGGCAAGTGCAAGGGCCTGAGTCCAATCCCCTGTTCTGCAAAAAAAAAAAAAAAAAAAAATAATAATAATAATAATAATAATAATAATAATAACTTATCACAAATGAATGTGAAGCTTCTTCCCAGGACAAAAATTCCCCTTTGGACGCCTTCAGATCATTGCCCTCTTCCTTCTGTAACCGTTGTCCAGATTTGGAACACACACTCGTTTTTGTATGATATTTACAGTTGTATCCCTTTGTGGCAGTTACTTTTCTCTCCTTGCTAGGACAAAATACCAAACACCAGAAGTTAGGAGGGAAAGGTTGATTTAGCTCACAATTTGTAGAGGCTTCCATCCATAATCAGCTGGCTCCAAGGCTGGGTAGGAAGGCACAGGGTAACATTTCAAGGTGGTAGAAGACAGGAAAGGCAGCAAAAGCCGAAAGGAGAATAAGCCTCTTTTCATCCCTTGACAGGCTACCCACCCCACAAGGCAGGGGTAGTGCTCAGGAGGACGTTTACAAAGTGAGGACCCTGGCCCCTGCTGAGTTGCTTAATTAAATTTCTCAAGTTGACACACTGTGTCAAACATTACCCCCCAAGACAACATCGCTGAATGTTACAATTGGTATGATTTGTGCTTGAAATTCACAGACCTGGAATTAGACTGCATGTATGTCTCTGTGTCTGGTTTATATTGAACGTAACTTGAGTTTTTAATGAGAGTCAATCAAATACTTGCTAGGGCTCTTGTCATTGCCATCACTTATTCAGTCCCTATCCTTTTCAGAGGTCACACTAGTACAGCAGGCCCTCTGTCCCACAGGCCAAGACAGGCGTTCACCATAAACCACCATGTTGCCATAAACTACGCGGCATGACTCAAAGCCTCATGCACACATAACATTTATTAGATGGGAAGCAATAAGTGGAGTAAAAGTGATGCAAGATTTGTGCACTTTCTGGGAAAATGGTAAGTTTAAAAAGCACACAGTTTGAGTAACATGATTCCATGGATCCCTTAAAAATCCTAGCAATGGGGCAGGCAAATAACTTGCTGCAGTATAGGGAAGTTGTGGCCATGGATGATTCTGATGACAGAGGAGTGTGTGTTAAAAATGGAAAGAAAGGGAGAGAGGCTATGAGCAGGTGCCTTTCTCTGTCATACAGGCAAGGCGATATTTCCTGTGTGTTTATGTCTACTGTTAGGATTCTAGCTTCTGGAAGAAAGATAGTAGGATAAGCTCCATACATGCGCTCATAAAGTTGACTTGAGTGGAGGCAGAGGGCAGGGGAAAAGAAGGGGATTAAAGGGTGACAAGGCAAGCTCGGCTGCCTCCAAACCAGCCAGGGCACCCACAGGTTATCTCTGGGATCTGTGAGCAACCTCAAGAGTTGACTGAGGACCTAACAGAATGTTTAGCCCCATGCACCTAAATCATAACTTCCTGCTGAAAGTTGTAGAATGTCAGGATAAACATTATGAAGTAAATATTGCGCACAATGGGGAGGGAATTAGCTGTGCCATTCCCATTAATGCTAATGAGACTTCGGTGGTTAATTTCCCATGCCTTGTGCTGCACATTTGCCCCAATTAGTTATGTCAAGCTTGTGCCACACTCCGACCAAGTTTTCACTTTGGGGGAGGGGTGCCAAGGGATGTGGGTAATTGTCCTCATCATTTCTTTCAATTTCAGATGGTGACGACAAGGCTAAAGTCACTGTATTATTTGCTTCTTCAAAGGAACAGCCTCTGAGAAACCAGCACTTTGCCAAAACTTTTGAAATGCACAACCTCTTGGAAATCATTGTTTTCATTA